TTACGCGTTTTAGTGCTTTTTATTTCATGTTTATTCTGCATAAATTGGCGCAGTGTAAAAATGCGTACTCGTGCAACTAAAACTTTCTTTCAAACTTGCATTTTCTTTCTTTTTTTAATTACATTTGATTCAAATCAATAATTATTCAGAAATATGATTATTATGTTTATTGTGGTTTTGAAATGTCTTGATCTCCTCATGTGTTCTCATATGCTTTACCATCGGAGATGTGCACAAGTCGATACCCAAACCAAAAAATCATTCAACTGTAACGAGCGCATTGGGGTATATATCGTTACAATGAGACAAGATATCTGAAAGAAATATGGCGGAATACGACTATAGTTGGTATAAAACAAGTCGTACATAGATGAAAATGTTGCGTTTTTAAGAATTCATGTCAGCTTTAAAGAGCTTCCATACACTGTCCTAGTGTAAAAGTAAGCTGTCAACTGTAAATGTCAGCACTCCTCACAAAAGTCCAGTATTCAAGCTCAAAAGTTCATTAAACATTATAAAATTGGAGCATAGCAAACAAGGACCTCCAAAACAGAGGTGGGATCAGTGGGTGTGAGCATGAAGGAGTGAACATTTTCTGCCGCCCGTCACACCCTTGGTGTTCTCCTTGTCATGTTCGGGAAATAACGGAAATATCCGAAATGGCCTATCAATTAGTATGAAAAATGCCTGTCAGCATATGATTTAATCATAAATTGTGTTTGCTGACAGGGTCATTATATCCACCACAGAATTTACGAAATAATGACTTAAAAACGAGACTGCTGATATTCTTGTTTCAGCATCTTGTTTCTCAATCATTTACCTCGAAAGATAAATTTTTCATACATAGGTACATGCTCTTGCGTATCCAAACAATTGAGAAATAGAAAAAAAAGTTATATAATAGCATATGCATACAAGCAAAGTAAGGCTTCATTTTTTAAAGTATTAAATAATTTTTTATTCGAAATTTCAGTCTTCTTGGCAAGGAACTGAGAAACATAAATGCATATATGTAGTAAACTAATTAATAACGACTTTTGTTTCGTTTTCAATGGTGTGCCTCGCATTTCATTTTCTTCTTATCAGTATACGGCCTTTGCACTTTCCTCTTATTTCATTGGCCAAGAGAGTATCTTTTTTTGCACCACTTCTTCAAACAGAACAAAAACAAAACAATAATTTAAAAGATAGATATTGATCGCAATTAATGTCTTTATTTTCTGCTCACATCTTTTAAAACTGGCAATGGTTGGCTCAAATGACCATCATCTACTTAAAAGTACCGAGAGTGGTTAAACTAAAATTATGGTTAAATATTTGATCTACAGACGCAGGTTAAATACAGAAAGGAGGCTATCTCTTCGCTAATAACTTCTTTAAAAATGTAAAAAGGCCACATACAGATAACTGCTTCAAATTTGAGCCTCGCTCATGGGTTACAATGGAAAAGCACAGGAATCTCTTGTAGTTATGCCTCCTCTTTTCCCAACCACAATGAAAACAGATAAAATACCTATATATACTGAAGTTATATTTTATTGATCAAAATAGAGGTTTTGATCAATAAACAAAACTGTAGCTAATATCAAGATGGAAAACTTCAGCAAATATCAATAATTGTTCTTGATATAATAATAATATAAAATATTTATTACATTCACGTATGAACATATCATCATTAAGTTTTTTTTTAAACTAATGTTTGCCAGAAAGGTACTTTTTTATTGTTTGCCAGAGAGGTACTGTAAATGACATGTACATACAGATTTTCTTCACACAAAAAATAATGAAAATAATGATTTGAAATGTTAATGTGTAAAATATATATTGTAATCTTTGCCCTCTTCTTCTAATATTAGTAAAAGTGAGTACAAGAGCCAAGAACTTGAAAACTAAAGTACAAGAAATATACAATAATCATCTTTACAGTCCTGACAAAAAAATCATGGAAAGAAATGTAGACACTAAGTTCAGTCAATGTCTTTAAATTGTTAAATTAATTTCATTTACTTCTATTAAGCTACTAGGGGAAAAATTCGATTTAAACAACATTGCATACATAGAGTCAATTTTAACTTCCTTTTCAGAATGAAGGAAAAATTAGCCTAATTTCCTCTTAGCTATATTTATAACACGGAACAACCATATTCAAATGTTTGCACTGATAAAGTCATTCAAAAATTGGTTACTTCCGATTTTGACTTGACTTTTTCTTTAATAGTTTTATCAACAGGAAACCCAAAATCATGAGGGCAAAGATAGATGCAACAACAACAGAAATAATTATCAAAGTAAATTTTGTTGTGTCTTCCTCCTTAGTTCTGAAATTAGTCATGTTGTTCTCTGTTCCAGTTCCGTTTGTCATCAAAGATATAAATTTATCTGTGTTGTCTTTATTTAAAAAATAAATAATAGAATATTCTAGTAATAAGTTTTAAATATTGTTAAATGTATTTATTTTATAAATGCTTCAACTCTTAAATCATTGTCATTTAATTAATTCTCTTTGGATGGTATTTAAAATTTGAGAACAAAATAAAAAATTCTAGTCAACTGTAAAAGTATTTTTATATATCACCTGTGATACCTAAACTTGTGACATATCGTATGACAATGCTTCCTCTACAACAGGATTCTTCGCCTTCATACAACAAAGACATGGCTGAGTTTTTCACAGTCATATTATACTTTTCTTTTGCTGTACATTGTTCCCATTGTACTTTCATTACACTGATGGCTTTTTCGATGACCACATATGAACATTCCCTACACCAATTCGGAAAAGTGCAAAACAATGGCATCAGAAATTCCATTCCTCGTGAGAGTGTTATTTTTGGTTTTATCTACAATTTGTTTCAGTTTTCTAGGCTTTGTCGGAATTTGCTTTTGCATTGAAACCTTGGCTAAAAATGTGCAACGTAATTAACTTAAATGCAGGAAAATTGTACAAGGCCCAGATATGTATTTTAATAAACCCTACTTCCCATTCCGTCTTTTTTTTAAATTGAGGGTACAGAATTGCCTTCGCCCTTCCTAAATAACATGTGTTTAATTTTGTAGTTATTTTGTAATGTATTATAATTTATTCAGAATATAACTTTGGGCAATACAGCCCATCAGTTTACTCAAATAGCAACATACTAGTATATTGCGAAAATGATGACTCTTAATGAGTCTAAATTGGGGGTTTGGATGAAACCCCTGGTAAAGTATTTTATTGTACATATACACTGACAATTATGATTGATTGGTTGTTGTTGAACGTCCCACGGGAGAATGTTTCATTCATTTGGAAACTCAGTTCACTTAGATTGAGTTAACTATACATTAGTCAATTGATTCTGTGTGTTTGATGATATCAATACTTTGGTATAAGCACAGTTAATTGTATTAAAGTTTATAAACATGTTTCAGGTTTAGAAAAAATACAATAACAATTGCAATTTGTAGTGCTCTTGTCAATAATTTACAATTGCAGATCATATCTTGTTGTTTTTAGGATGATTTTTTTGTTTTTGGTTTTTAATCAATAAATTAATTTCAATCTTAAATCTTATTTTCATTCGCATTCGATGTATACCACGATGATTTAAGATATCACAGAATCTGACACATCTTTTTTATATCTGGATATATATTTGCTAGAATAAGACGTAAATGGTAACCTAACAACAAAGCTTTATGATAAATGAATTGAACTTTTCAATCCTCATCTCCCCTTACTTATGCAGCAATACCTTTTTCACCTGATTAAAGGGTTTTTATTTCTCAGCTGATTCGATACACAAGAGCATGTATATATGAACTTTTTCAAAAACGAGTTAAGGTATTGACAAACATGTTGATGAAACAAGAATATCAGCCGTCTCGTTTTAAGTCATCATTTCGAAAGCTCTATGGTCGATATGCAAGATCTAAAAAGAAAGCAAAATGTTATAAGGTTTACATGTAAAATACTCCATGGTATATAGACCAAACAGTATGGAGTGAAACTTCGCATTGTGAAGGAATTGTTTAATAAACGAGCAGCAGGGTTTGTGATGATCTAATATTGCTTTTAGCGACATGTGACAGGGTATCATTTAAATACTTTTTTGGAATGTAGATAAAAATTTCTTATTCCTCTAAAATTTTGGTCTGCAGTTTAAAACGATTAACATCTTTTCTTTAACCTTTAGGATTTTACTGCAAGTGAAACGAATTTTTTCATGTGCATTTTAGTTTATCCGTCTACCATCTTTATCCGCTAGTTAAATTTATAAAACTCTATTTATTATTTATGATACACTTAGGACAAGGAAGAATACGTACAATTTTAATTTGAACTCAGAATGCAATGATTGGATTTATTTTTGTTTAGATTTCTAGTAGAAATTCTAAGATTGGAGGATATTTACACTATCAGTATCTAGCGCCTTATTATTCTCAATAATATATATAAACATTTTAGTATCGATTTTTCTAGCAATTCAATGTCAAAAATTAGCTTTTAATTTTAAGTTGTTTTGATTTCACACGCACTTCTAAAATCAATTTGGATATGTAGTAAGAGAGATCTTCTTGATTGATAGTCTTCTTTGGTGGTGGAAAACTATTCTTTTCTTCCCTTAAAACTAAGATAAGTCCTTATTAGATAGCTTGTTTAGCATGTATGTTCTAAACCTATATGCTTAATGTAAGATTCAAATGTTTACCAAGACACCTTTTTTATCGAATTTCATCACCAATATTTTCTACATTAGTAAAATTCAGAATTAATAAATGCAAAAAAATAACAAAACCGTTTCAGTGCTGCATGTTAAATTACATTAAATTAAATTTCGTCAGTATTTTTGGAATAGGCAGTGCTTTACATCCTTCTATTCATAATTTAATTACAAGCTTAAGTACAGATACATGTTGCAAGAAGTAGTTTATTTCCGGATGATATATTACCAAAGGAAAAGAACTGTTAAATATGTTTTATAATAATTATAACGAGGAAAGGGCGTCAGAATTTCTAATCATATAGAAATATATCATCTACTTATGAATTTGCTTTTCTTCATAGGACAGCGCACTAAAATACAAAAGGAATAATTGTTACAAGTTTATATTCCTTTATTTTTCATTCACTGTATACTATAGGCAGGAAGAAGAGATGGATCCAATCCAGAGTCATAATTTGTGACATTATTTTTGTTGACCAGTGTTTTCATTTGTACGTCAGAAGAAAGCAGTAAGTACGATCAAGTTTAATAATTTTCTACAAATAAAAAACTAAATATATATAATAGAAGATATGTTATGTATATTATATATTTTGCTCCGAGAAATGTAGCTTAAAAGCTTATTCTCATTCAAAGGGTTGAGAAAAAAAAGAATAACGGGAAGTATTTATTGTTTATTTGACCTGGCTATATTGGTTAATGATAAAAACATATGACAGGTGCTGGCCATGGCCTTTATCACTTAAAAATAACTCAAACCATGCTGAGAGATTTTTTTTTATAATGGATCAGTACCACAATATCACATATTAATTAAGAAATATAATACCGTGGAAAAATACTGATGTGTTTGGCATATGAAAGGTATCTCTGCAGGTACTTCTATTATGATGAAAGCAATTTATATGTCAATTACAAGTCAATTGCAATATTGTTAAATAAGGAGTTACATTGTATAATATCAATCTAGAATTTTTATTCATATTCATCTCTTAAGAATTGATTTACCGCTGTCTATCTCATTCTGGAGGGGGAAATGACCAAGAATTCTATTTCATCTTTATATTTTGAATGTTTTTGATTTCTTTTTTCAAATATTGACAATCCTATCATTCTATAATTAATAATTCAATATTTCGTTTATTTTTTAGAATAAGAAAATGATGAAAGCAAAGACAAAGGACTGTTCACACCCTACTTTCTGTGCAATGTGTAGTATATTCAGAGTTGCTGATCCAAATTTCAAAACCATTTTCACGATAGTGGACAATTGCTCGAAGCATTATGAATATCCGAGTTACCTTCCTAAAACCAAAGTTATAGTGGAGGGGGTTACTGTCGGGGAATTCAATCAAACCCGATGTTGTGAGGGTTCTCGGTCACTTTTGTATACCACAGGTAAAGTAAGCCATATTCATACCTTCATAACAGCTGTAATTTGTATCATTTTAAAAAGCACATTTATAAATCTATAGAGAGAGAAAACAGATGGATGAATTAATAGCATGTACAGTGAAAACCGTCTATTCGGACACCTGTACAATCCGTTTCAGTGTACACTCCGACTTTTGTTTTCGTTTTACGATTTCTCATATCTTTTATATTCTCTACAATCCAACAATCTGTCTATTTTGACAAAAAAGGTAGATTTAGACAGGTTTGTTTCACTGTATAATCAACACACAACCTCAATATTAAACAGCTGACAATATTTAACCACTGCATTTCTGTTTTGTTCTGTGTTGAAGATTCCTCGTCTTCAAGTGATTGGAGGTCATCACCTGTTATCAATTTTCTGCTGATAACACTGTCCATTGCTTTGGTTGTCTTCCTGCTCATTATCACCATCATATTAGTGGTCAGGTACAAAAAGTAAGCATTGAAATTTACTTATGGGTGTATTAATTTTCAAATGTGAATTACACTGTTTTTCTAAAGATATGCATGTTTGCTTTTATTTCATAATAAGCATTTAAAACAACAAAATAAATTTTCACTTTTTCATAACCATAGGATTTCCACGTCTAAAATATATTTTTATTTCGAAAAGAAACGCTGTATGTGATAAATACAACAAGAGGCCCATGGGCCTTATAGGTCACCTGAGCATTATGCAACAACAGTGATTGAATTTGATTCATGTTTTAAGCCAGATGCTATGGCATTCACAATTTTGAAAGAGGCATCATTGATCGTCATACAATACACGTAGCAGTCGCTTAGTTTGTTTACTCAATACGTATAGGCAGGGTGGGGAACAAAAATACACATTTCAACTAATCAGTAAAATTCACTAATAATCAGTAGTGCCCCTACCACACATGAAACTCTGACCCTTAGGCCTAGATCCACACATTGCACAAATGAAAAGACATCCTTGCTTTTCAAAACTATTTGATTAATACCAAGGAGCAGATTTCAAACAATTCATTCATTTTCAGTATATGGTAAACCTGACCCCGAAGCCTTGAACTTCACAATTCACAAGATTAAGGCCCTTGTTCATCATAGCTATAAAGGTAGTTCATCTGCTTAATACCTAGTAGCAGAGAAGAAGATATTCAAATAATTCATGTTTTTTCACTATATAATCAATACAGCCCCGCCCTAACACCAGAGCCCCTGATCCTGGGGCCATAAAATTCGCAATTTTGGTAAAGGCACTCTTGCTCATCATAACTATGTACTTAGTTGGTTTATTTAATACCCAGGAGCAGAGAGGAAGATTTTCAAAGAAATAATGCATTTTCACTATAGCCCTCGCACCAGAAACCCTGACCCTGGGGCCATAAAATTCACAATTTTGGTAGAGGCACTCTTGCTTATCATAACTATGTACTTAGTTGGTTTATTTAATACCCAGGAGCAGAGAAGAAGATTTTCAAAGAAATAATGCATTTTCACTATATACTTATTTGGCCCCGCCCTAGCACAAGAACCCCTGACCATGTTGCCATGAATTTCACAATTTTGGACTCAATGCTGATTACAATCATGCAAACAGTTTGACTTTTTGATGTCCAGGAGTAAAGAAGAAGATTTTCAAAGATTTCATTAATTTTAGTGGTTTTTGCCCCACCCCCAGGGGCAGAGACCATGAAATTCACAATTTTTGTTCCCCTTCATCCATAGATGCCTTGTGCCAAATTTGATTAAAATTGGTTGAGTGGTTGCAGAGAAGAAGCTGAAAATGTTCAAATGTTAACGCACGACGGACGACTGACGACGGACGACGCACGACGACGGACGACAACGGATCGCAATAGGTCACCTGAGTTTACTCAGGTGACCTAAAAATGCAGCAGATAAAAAATACACTAAGCTAATTAAGCTAAGGTATTTTACTTATTTCTCATATTCAGTGCATTTTTCATATTTCATCGAAGGCATTCAACATATGATCCTGGGAAACAAAATGAACCATGCAGTATAATCATTGTAAGATATTATTTTCAACCTATTCTTTTTATAATGTTTCTTGTATTTATAAGTCAAAATTAAGCCTTACTGTTTTCTTAAAAAATCTTAAACATGATCTCCATTCTACTTTTAATTCTAGCATATACTAGCGTTGCTTTAATTTTTACATGTTATTAATATACAAAAGGATGAAGTCGTGGAATATTCAACACCAGAAGAAAAATTTATTGTAGGAGGATCATTATTCCACATTAAATTAATGTCAAAAAACACAGAGAATGCACAATATAAAAGTCATAATCATGAAAGAGTGGAAGAATCACAAAGTACTGTTGATGGTGAACAGAGCGGCACTTTGAAACACGCTTATCTCGATAAGGAGGATTTCTATTGTACACTTCATAAAAAAGAAAAGAAATGTATTGATAGACAGGAAAGTGTCTACAGCCATTTCAGTGAAATTGATGATAACATTTACAATACAACATTCCACCATGAACCAAAAAAATGTGAACTGAATAATGTATATTCATGTGTATAAGTGCTCTGTTATACGTTGTTTGACATACTTATATCTTAAGGGATTGAGAGTAACAAAATGTAAAAAACGACATACTAATATTTATAACACATACCAATGCAATACATTTACATTATTTGTGAGAATTCATTTTAATCAGTCGATAGAAATTAATACTGAATATTTTTTTTATTGTTTCTTAATTTAATTTTATTTTTCATGTGTTTTGTTTCTGTGCTAAATAAGAAATGAAATGATATGATTTTTGATATCTAGAACAACATTACTCTGCAGTAATATTTCCTTAAATAAATTAAGAAATTTCGGTATTTTTTATATCAATTTTTGTATCAATATTTTTAAACATCCGGTGATATTAATACATTAAAGGTTTTTTTCCAACCTCTGACGAAAAGACCTGAGATGATGCGATTGGTTTAAAGTCATCATTTCGTAAGTTCTTTGGTCGATACCATGTCATTAATTCGAATAATAAATGACATTTTTCATATTTATTATTATCTCCATATATTTCATTGTAAATTATTTGAAATGAAATTATGCATCAGACTCTGTGATGCCTATTATTTTGAGTTCACTTATAAATGTGGAATTGAAGGCAACAGCGAGAAACCTTTGTATGTGAAATTTTTTAAACAAATTCACCTTCATACAATCAAGAAAACTGTCTGTTAATATAATGCGAACAAAGGAAATATGAGTACTTCAAGGGAGCGTATGTACCCAACAGATTCTGTAGAGGAAGACCTGCTTTCTAAAATTAATAATGTGCATATTAATACCAAATATTAGAGCTTTCGTACATTGCCCTAGTGTAAAAATAAGTTGTAAACTGTAAATGTCAGCACTCCTCGCAAAAGTTCAGTATTCAAGCTCAAAAGTTTATTAAACAATATAAAATTAGAGCATAGCAAACAAGGACCTCCAAAACAAAGGTGGGATCAGGTGTCATGGAGGAGTGAGCTTTTCCTGCTTCCAGTCACAACCGCGGTGCGTCCCTTGTCATGATCGGGAAATAACGGAAATATCCGACAATGGCCTATCAATTAGTATGAAAAATGCCTGTCAGCATATGATTTAATAATAAATTGTATTTGCTGACAGGGCATTGTATCCACCACAGAATTTACGAAATAAGGACTTAAAACGAAACTCCTGATATACTTGTTTCAGCAACTTGTTTCTCAATTATTTACCTCGAAATGAAAATTTTTCATACATAGGTACATGCTCTTGCGTATCCAATCAACTGAGAAATATAAAAAAGATTATATGATAGCATATGCCTACAAACAAAGTACGGCTTCAGTTTTGAAAGCATTAATTGATTTTTTATTTGAAATTTTAGTCTCCTTTGCAAGGAACTGAGGAACATAAATGCATATATGTAATAAACTAATTAATAACTACTTTCGTTTCGTTTAGAATGGTGTGTCTCTCATTTCATTTTCTTTTTATCAATATACGGCCTTTGCACTTTCCTCTGATTTCATTGGCCAAGTGAGTTTCGTTTTTTTTGTATAAGCCTGAGCCTTGAGGTGGAAAACTAATTGTAAATATTTTACAACACTTCCTCATTGTTTTTATTTTTTGCTCACATCTTTTAAAACTGGCAATGGTTGGCTCAAATGACCATCATCAAATTAAAAGTGCCGAAGGGGGAGTAGATGAACTAAAATCGTGTTTAAATATATGTTCTTCTACAGACGCGGGTTAATACAGAAAGGAGGCTATCTCTTCGCTAATGAATTATTCTTAAAAATGTGAAAAGTCCACATACAGCTTCAAATTTGAGCCTCACTCATGGGTTACAATGGAAAAGTATTGGAATCTCTTATCTAAAAATCTTATTGCATAAATTGCAGCAATGCCTCCTCTTTTCCTCTTTTCCCAACCACAATGAAAACAGAAAAAAACACCTATGTATACTGAAGTTATATTTTATTGATCAAAATAGAGGTTTTGATCAATAAACAAAATTGTAGCTAATACTAATAAGTAAAACTTCAGCAAATATCAATAATTGTTCTTGACACATATAAAATATTTCTTACATTCAATTATAAACCTATTGTCATTATTTTTGTTTTGAACTAATGTTTGCCAGAAAAGTACTTTTTTACTGTTTGCCAGAAAGGTACTGTAAAGAGACGTACAAACAGTTTTTCTTCACACAAAACATAATGAAACTAATAATTTGAAAGGTAAGTGTGTAAAATATATAATGTAATTTTTGCTTTCCTCTTCTAAAATTATTAAAAGTGTGTATAAGAGCCCAGCACTTGAAACCTAAAGTACAAGAAATATACAATAATCATTCTTACAGTCCTGAGAAAAAATCAGGGAAAGAAATGTAGACAATCATTTCAGTCAATGTCTTTAAATTGTTAAATTAATTTCATTTATTTCTATTAAGCTACAAGGGGAAAAATTCGATTTAAACTTCATTGTATACATAAAGCCAATTTGAACTTCCCATTCGGAATGAAGGAAAATTCAACCTAGCTTCCTCTTAGCTATATTTATAACACGGAACAATCATATCCAAATGTTTGTACTGTTAACGTCATTTGAAACTTGTGTTACTTCCGATTTTGACTTGATTTTTTCTTTATAAGTTTTATCAACAGGAAACCCAAAATCACGAGGGCAAAGATAGTTGCAACAACAACAAAAATAGTTATTAAAGTAAATTTTGTTGTGTCGTCCTCCTTGGTTCTGAAATTAGTCGTGTTGTTCTCTGTTCCAGTTCCGTTTGTCATCAAAGATATGATTTCATCTCTGTTGTCTTTATTTAAAAGATAAATAATATAATATTCTAGTAATAACGTTTTATTGTTAAATGTATTTATTTTAATCCTTTAACTCTTAAATCATAGCCATTTAATTCTCTTTGAATGATTTTTTTTTTAAATTCGACAACAAAATGAAAATTTCTTGTAAAATGTAAAAGGCTTTTTATATCTGTGATATGATACCTACTTGTGACATATCGTATGACAATGCTTCCTCCACAACAGGATTCTTCGCCTTCATACAACAAAGACATGGCTGAGTTTTTCACAGTCATATTATACTTTTCTTTCTCTGCACATTGTTCCCATTGCACTTTCATTACACTGATGGCTTTCTCGATGACCACATATGAACATGTTCTACACCAATTTGGAAAAGTGCAAAACAATTGCATCAGAAATTCCATTCCTGGTGAGAGTGTTATTTTTGGTTTTATCCACAAGTTGTTTCAGTTTTATAGGCTTTGTCGGAATTTGTTTTTGCATTTGAAACCTTTGCTTAAAACGTGCATCGTGATTAACTTAAATGCAGGAAAATTTTACTAGGTCGAGATATGTATTTTAGAAACCCTACTTCCCATTCCGTATTTTTTTTAAATTGAAGGTACAGATTAGCCTTCCTTAACAACATGTTTAATTGTGTACTTATTTTGTATTTGAGCAAAAACGACCAATCAGTTTACACAAAAAGCAACATATAAAACAAAAATGATGACTCTTAATGAGTCTAAATTAGAATGGGGGGACGTTGGATGAGACCCCTGGTAAAGTGTTTTTTATTGTACATATACACTGATAAATATGATTGATTGATCGATGTTGAAGGTCCCTCTGGAGAATTTTTCATTCATTTGGAGACTCGGTAAACTTACATTAATATAGTAGTAACTATACATTAATCAATTAATTATGTGTGCTTGATTTTCTATATCAATACTTTGATCTAAGAACAATGTAATTGTATTAAAGATTATGAACATGTTTAAGATTTAGAGAAAAAAAAAATGACAATTGCAATTTGTAGAGCTCTTGTTAGTAGTTAACGACTGCAGATCAAATATTGTTTTGTACAGAATGAAATTATTGATTTTTCATTAATAAATAAATTCAATCTTGAATTTTATTCCCATTCTCATTCGATGTATATCACTTTGATTTTAAGACACCATAGAATCTGACACATCTCTAATATTGGATACATTGCTATAATAAGACGTAGATGGTCATCCAAGAACAAAGTTTTATGATAAAGCAAATGAATTAAACTTTTCAATCTTCATCTTCCTTTACTTACGCAGCAATAAATACATTTATCACTTGATTACAGGTTTCTCAGTTGATTCGATACACAAGAGCATGTACATATGAACAATTTTAAAAACAATTCAAGGTATTGAAAAACAAGTTAATGAAACTAGAACATCTGCTGTTTCGTTTTAAGTCATTATTTCGAAAGTTCTATGGTCAATATGCAAGGTTTAAAGATAAAGCAAAATGTTTTTAAGTTTTAACTAAAATATACAGACCAAACAGTTCAGAGTGATGCAATTGATTTCACTGAGTATTTTTAATATGGTATTGATTTCCTTATATTATTAACGTGCCTGCTTTTTGGTGAGCAGTTTAAAACGCTTAATGTCTTTTCTTTCGCCATTAAGATTTTACTGCAAGTATAAATAATGTGTTCACGTGCATTTCTGTTTATCCCTCTGCAATCTTTGTTCGCTAGTTAAAATAAAAAAAAACGCCATTTGCTAATTGTAATGCACTTAGGACAAGGAAGAATAAGTACAATTTTAATTGGAACTCTTCAGAAGGCACTGATTTTTTTAATTTCTAGTAGAGATTCTTAGATTGGAGGATATTTACACTCTCAGTATCAAGTATATTGTCAATTATTAGCATTTTATTTGACTTTTTGTTGGAGATTTTTCTAACGTTTTCATGTCAAATATTAGCTTTTAATTTTAAGTTGTTTTGATTTCACACGCACTTCTAAAATCAATTTGATTATGTAGTAAGAGAGATCTTCGTCATCTTGATTGAAAGTCTTCTATGGTGGTGGAAAACTTTTCTAGACCTCTTTAAAACTGAAATAAGTCCTTAGATGGCTTCTTTAGCATGCATATTTATGGACTAATATGCTAATGTCATATTCAAATGTGTAACAAATTACCTAATTATTGAATTTCATCACCCATTTTTGCTACATTGGTAAAATTCAGATTTGATATTGCGCAAAAAATACCGAGTCGTTTCGGTGATGCTTGTTAAATTATACACACTTAATAAAGACTTCCTTTACAAAGATTTTTCTGCAAATGTACTTTGTTTTTGTCATTAAATTAAATGTACATTCGTATTCCGTCAACAGCACGAAAATGAAATGTTCACATTTCTATTAATATTACATTTCGTCAATATTTATGGAACAGGCAGTGCTTTAAATTCTGATATTCATAATTTAATTACAAGCACAGATACATGTTGTAAGAAGGAGTTTATTTCCGGATGATATAATTACCAAAGGAAAAAGAGCTGTTTAGTATGTACATGTATGTTATATGATGATTATAATAAGGAAAGGGCGTCAAAATTTTTAATTATATAGGAAGATCATCAACTTATTTGCTTTTCTGCAAAGGGGAAGCGCACTAAGATACAAAAGGAATAATTGTTACAAGTTTACGTTCCTTCAGGTCATCACTTTTTTTTATTCACTGTCTACTATAGCTAGGAAGAAGATATGGATTCAGAGTCATAATTTGAGACATTATTTTTGTTGGCCATTGTTTTCATCTTAACTTCAGAAGAATACAGTAAGTACGATAAAGTTTAATAATTTTCAACATGAAATTCTGTGGAAAGGACTTATATAGGCAGTGCCTGCTGTCCGATCCTATTATGTTAATCCATAATAAAATATTCTTTAAATTAAATTATATATTTTGCTCCTTGAAATTTAGCTTAAAAGCTATTCTCATTCAAAAGTTGTGAAAAAAAGAATCACGGGAAGTACATGTACTCAATGTTTTTTTTGCCCTTGTTATTGGTTATTGATAAAACCATATGACAGGTGCTGGCCTTTTACACTCAAAATAACTCAAAACCATGCTTAGAGATTTTTTTAATAATGGATCAGTAACACAGTATCAACATACCAATTTAGAAATATATTATCGTGGAAGAATACTGATGCGTTTGACATATGAAAACTATCTCTGCAGGTACTTCTATTATAATGAAATCGATTTACATTTCAATTGCAGTATTGTAATACACCGAAAAACGTTCTAGAATTTTTTTTTCAATTAAGGACAACCCTGATCATTCCATGTTTAATAATTCAATATTTCGTTTATTTTTTAGAATAAAAAAAATCATGAAAGCAACGACAAAGGACTGTTCCCATCCTACTTTCTGTGTAATGTGTAGTATATTTAGAGTTGCTGATGCAAATTTCAAAACCATTGTCACGATAGTGGACAATTGCTCGAAGCATTATGAATATCCAAGTTACCTTCCTAAAACCAAAGTTATAGTGGAGGGGGTTACTGTTAAGGAATTCAATCAAACCAGATGTTGTGAGGGTTCTCGGTCACTTTTGTATACCACAGGTAAAGTAAGCCATTTTCATACCTTCATAACAGCTGTAATTTGTATCATTTCAAAAAGCACATTTATAAATCTATAGAGAGAGAGAGAAAAGAGAGATGGATAAATTAATAGAATGTACAGTGAAAACCGTCTATTCGGACACCTGCACATTCCGTTTCAGTGTACATTCCGACCTTTATTTTCGTTTTACTATTTCTCATATCTTTTATATACTCTAGTCTACAATCCAACAATCTGTCTATTTTGACACAAAAAGTAGATTTAGACAGGTTTGTTTTACTGTATAATTAACACACATTCTGCATACTAAACAGCTGACAATATTTAACCACTGCATTTCTGTTTTGTTCTGTGTTGAAGATTCCTCGTCTTCAAGTGATTGGAGGTCATCACCTGTTATCAATTTTCTGCTGATAACAATGTCCATTGCCTTGGTTGTCTTCCTGCTTGTTATCATAACCATATTATTGGTCAGGTACAAAAAGTAAGCATCAAACTTTACTTATAAGAGCATCAAATTTCAATTGTGAGTAGCACTGTTTTTCTTAAGTTACGCATGTTTGCAATTATTTCAGAATATAGCATCTAAAACATCAACAAAATATATTTTCATTTGTTAAATAACCATAGAATTTCCACCTCTGATTCTTTTTCCAAAAGAAACACTGTTTATGATTAAATATAAAAACTCAACAGATAAAAAATAAACACTAAAAGGTATTTTACTTGTTTCTTATATTTGATGTATTTTTCATATTTTAAAGAAGGCCTTCAACATATGATTCTGGGAAACAACATAGACCATGCAGTATAATCATTGTAAGATATTATTTTTAACCAATTCTTTTTATAATGCTCTTGTCGCCCGCGTGGCGCAGTGGTTAGAGCGTCTGCTCTAGAGTCGCGAAGAAAGGAATCAATCCTTACGTCGCGGGTTCGAATCCCACTGAGGGACGTGGAGACCGGTCCTTCGGATCAGACCGTATAAACCGAGGTCCCGTGTCGCAGTAAGTGCTGACACGAAAAAGATCCCTCCCTGCTCAATGGCCCTGAGTGCCGAGTAAAGGACAACATTTGCACCGGCAAATGGTGGCGTCTCCATATGAGTGAAAAATTCTCGAGAGGGACGTTAAACAGTATACAATCAATCAATCAATCATTTTATAATGCTTTTGCATAAGTCCAAATTATGCCTTAAACATGATCCACATTCTACTTTTAATTCTAGCATATACTAGCGTTACTTTCATTTTTACATGTTATTAATATACAAAAGGATGAAGTCGTGGAATATTCAACACCAGTAGAAAACGTTCCTGTCGGAAAATCATTATTCCACATTAAATTAATGCCGAAAGACACAGAGAATCCACAATATAAAAGTCATGTTCGTGAAAGAGTGGAAGAATCACAAAGTACTGTTGATGGCGAACAGAGCAGCACTTTGAAACATGCTTATCTCGATGAGGAGGATTTCTATTGTACACTTCAAAAAAAAAGAAAAGAAATGTATTGATAGAAAGGAAAGTGTTTACAGCCATTTCAGTGATATTGATGATAACATTTATAATAAAACATTCCACCATGAACCAAATGAAGGTGAACTGTATAATGTATATTCTTGTGTATAAGTAGCTCTGGTATTAGTAGCTGATTGACATATTTATGTCTTAAGGGATTGAGAGTAACACAATATAAAAAACGACATACTAATATTTATAACACACAATGCAACACAATTACATTATTTGTGAGCATTCATTTTAATCAGTCGATAGAAATTAATACTGAATATTTTTTTCTATTGTTTCTTCTTTCAATTTTGTATTTCATGTGTTTTGTTTCTGTGCTAAATAAAAATGGAAATAATATGATATTTGATATATAGAACAACATTATTGTGCAGTAATATTTCCTTAAAAAGAACGTTTCTGTAAGGATATCCTGCTTATAAGTATTATAAAATCTTGTTCCATTTCAATAAAAAAATTTCGTTACTTTTTTATATTAATTTTTGTATCAATATTTTTTAACATCCGGTGATATGAATACATAAGAGGTTGTTTTTCCGACCTCTGATCAAAAGACCTGAGGATATGCGATTGGTTTTAAGTCATCATTTCGTAAGTTCTTTGGTCGATACAATGTCATTAATTCAAATAATGAAAGACGTTTTTCATATTAATTATTAGGCTATTATGTATGAGTTGAATTGATGGATTTTTACGTTATTTCCCGATCATGAAAAGGAGCGGTTGTGATTTGTCGGCAGAGGACGCTCACTCCTCCATGGCACCTGATCCCAACTCTGATGTTTTTCGAGGGCAATGTTTCCTCTGTTCTTTTTTTTTACATTGCTGAATGGACTTTTGAGCTTGAATACTATTTGTTATCTCCATAAACGGTATTTCATTGTAAACTATTTGAAATGAAAATTATGAATCAGACTCTCTGATGCCTATTATTTCGAGTTAACTTATAAATGTGGCATTGAAGGCTACAGCGAGAAACCTTTTTATTTGAAAGTTTTTAAACAAATTCACCTTCATACAATAAAGAAAACAGTCTGCTAATATAATGCGTACAAAGGAACTATGAGTACTTCAAAAGATCGCATGTACTCCAACAGATTCTCTAAAGAAAGACCTGCTGTCTTAAATTCATAATGTGCATATTAATAGCAATTAAAAATATTTACTGACATTTTAGGTTGACAAGAATTTTTCCAGTGAGTTTGAAATAAAAGATAACACGGAGTATATTGGATATTTTACACGAAAAAAAGCAATGGTTTTATATCCACAAAGATGTGTGATAACTGTGCTAACTTCAATTTACAATAAAAATATTTGCAATATACCCTTTTTACCTGCGTATGGCGTTTCCTTTGATTGAATACTCAATAACATACCCTAATTTCGATCACGTTCTAAAACGAGACAGTATAATATAAAGAAATGTTTATGAAACAAGAATATTAAAAGTCTTCTTTGATTGATTGATTGTATATTGTTTAACGTCCCCCTCTTTTTCACTCATATGGAGACGCCACCACTTGCCGCTGGAGAGCTGCAAATTTTGTCCTATGCTCGGCACTTAGGGCCATTGCGCAGGGATGGATCAATTTCGTGCCAACACCTACTGCGACACAGGACCTCGGTTTATACGGTCTCATCCGAAGGACCGGTCTCCACGTCCCACAGTGGGATTCGAACCCGCGACGTAAGGATTGACTCCTTACTTCGCGACTCTAGAGCAGACGCTCTAGCCACTGCGCCACGCGGGCGACAAAAGTCTTCTTTGAAGTTATCATTTCGAAAATTCTATGATCGATACAACAATCTTGTCAGTAAATACAATCGAATATCATTTAGTAAATGTCGATTGATTTTTTTCATGTAACTATTACGTCATTATTACATATCGAATTTGCTACGGATTTTTCCATTTATTTCCCAGTCGTGACAAGGAGTACATTGTGAATGTCACCGGCTGGAGGAGATGATAAATCATCCACGACCACGATTTCATCTCTAGTGTTTGAGAGTTCCTGTTTCCTCTGATTCTGATTCGTATTGTTAAATGGATTTTTGAGCTTGACTTAATGGCCTATCTCCAAACATTTTGGAATATTGTTCATTATTTCTATATTTCATTAGATTGGAATTATAAGCAAATTGTTGGATGAACTGCCTTTAGGACAAAACACGAAAGGGTTCACTTTTGATATCAGCTTAAGTTTTAAATTTATAGAATTAATAGTGGCAAAACAACACGAACATTACAAAAGGGATGATCTAAGTTTTATAAGCGGTAATTGTCACCTCCTGAACAGATAAAAATATAGTGAATTAATTATTGACTATAGTTAACAATAACATGAAAAGTTGCTTTAACGTTTAAAAAATATATTTACAATAGTTAATCAATGTACATGTGTATCTTTCTATTTTGCTATGAAATTCAAAATATAATCTTCAGTTTTCTCTAGCTCTAACATGTATTATAATTAAGAATTTAAAATTTCAACATAAAAAAACATACATGTACCAACATATTTTTAACCTACACCATTAATGTGCAATTTAAGAGACAATAAGACTTTGAATCTATAAAAAATACTTAAATGTTTGAAAATAAATCGAAGAATTATTCTATCAAAGTTGTTATTAAAGTCAATCAAAATTTACATGAAAACACGCTTGTTTTCTCATTTGCCATGAAGATTCATTGATGAATGATATTTCTCTTTTTGTGCTATGTGTACAAGTCTGTTTGAAAAATAACTTTATATCAGAGTACATTGCATTTCATCCGTTGTACTAAATTTAACATTTATTTGATTTCCCGTGGGAATTGAATAATACAAGGTGCATCTTTATGACCAGTCATTGCTAGTGGTTCTTATGTATTATACAGTACAGGGGAAATAAATAGATATGTATGTTGTACACTGCTGATACGTCACTAGCACTGCCTAGCCCATTTTCTAGTCACTTAAACACATGAAGGCCTCATTACATGTACATTTACCAAAAGGCAAATACAGATTTGAGTATCAATTGTTCTGCGCGTGCCTCTATCTGCTTCTAAATTTGTAGTCGTAGCTTAGTAATACGGAAAGAACGATGCAGGCAAAAGATGAGACGTTGACAAACGTTTCAATCACTCAAGCTCAAGAAATTAAAATTAACAGAATGAATTTTGTTGCCTTAATGTCAAAACACAGACAGTGCTTATATGGTTCCCTGTACATTATCGTAAATAATCGAATGAACAATGTTTAAAATTCAAATGCTTTTTTTATACAATCGTTTCTTTCTTTAGAAAGTCGCAAAAAAGAAATTACAAGTTTGAAGCTGCACCTTCAAATTTTCCCCCCACATGGGGTCCGATGTGATGTGCGAAACCTCGGCTTTGTTTGTTTGTGCATAATCAGCAGCTGTTTCTGCATGACTTCATGAGTAGAAGCTATCCTCGTCTAGTATAGATTGATTTCTATCTCCGATCTAAGCGAACATTAGTCTGTTGCAATGAAGCAGCGAACTTTTATGACTTAAAACACCCGAAAATCTACCTTCTACGTGACCGAATCATGCGTAGCACGGATTCAACCTATTCACCCGTAAACAAATGAACAACCAATCGATCTCCTTTACCGATGGACTTAATCTGCATACATTACAAATACACGTGTTTTACCATAATTTTTATAAATATATATATATATATCTTTATTTATAAAATATATAATATTTTAATAATAACGTTTTATTGTAAAATGTGTTTATTCTAATGCTTCAACTCTTAAATCATATAGTAATTTCTTTAATTATCTTTGAATTTTTTTTTAATTCGACAACAAAATAAAAATATCTAGTAAAATGTAAAAGGCTTTTCATGGTGTCTTCTACCTATTCCCACTTTTTAAAAATCTCAATTCCACCTATTCCCACTTACAAATAATAATAGATGTTTAGATAGTTATTTTGTGTTTTATAGTAACTAGACTAATAACATCTGCTCTTTAGATTTATCAGTATTTTGTACATTCTCATGTATGAGAAAATATGATTTATTTCGGATTTTTGAAATAATAAAAAGGTCTTACAAGAAAAAACAACTTAATATCTTGGTTTAAGAACATAAATAAATAGATTTATTGAAAAAAAGCATTCAAACAGGTGGATTTTAGAATGAGTATATTAACGGAGAAAAAAAAATTAATTCTATTAAAAATCCATATTTCCTTTCAAATATTTATAAAAAGTCTGATATATAATTTCAAAAAGCAAATATACATGTCCTCTATCCCAACAGGTGTTCATTAATCATTGTTTGTACAGCAATTGTATGTTTTCATAGTTATTATTTGTTTACACAAAAATTCCACCTAACCCCACATAAAATCGTACCTTTTGCTACCTGATTTTCAAAACGTGGGAATAGGTAGAATGAACCCTTTTTATATATGTGATATGATACCTACTTGTGACATATTGTATGACAATGCTTCCTCTACAACAGGCTTCTTCGCCTTCATACAACAAAGACATGGCTGAGTTCTTCACAGTCATATTATACTTTTCTTTTAATGTACATTGTTCCCATTGTACTTTCGTTAAACTGATGGCATTATCGATGACCACATTTGAACATGTCCTACACCAATTTGGAAAAGTGCAAACCAATGGCATCAGAAGTTCCATTCCTGGTAAGGGTGTTACTTTTGGTTTTATCTACAAGTTGTCTCAGTTTTCTAGGCTTTGTCGGAGTTTACTTTTGCATTTGAAACCTTTACTGAAAATGTGCAACGTGATAAACGTAAATGCAGGAAAATTGTACAAGGTCAAGATATGTATTTTAGAAACCCTACTTCCCATTCCGTCTTTTTTTAAAAATGAGAATTGGTACAGATTGGCCTTCCTAAACAACATGTGTTTAATTTTGTATCTATTTTGAGCTTGACTTATATTTCAGAATATAACTTGGGGCAAAACAGCATATCTGTTTACTCAAAATTTTCAACATATAAAACAAAAATGATAACGCTTTATACGTTGGATGAGACCCCTGGTAAAGTGTTTTTATTGTACATATACACGATAAATATGATTGATTAATTGATGTTGAAAGTCCCTGTGGAGAATTTTTCATTCATTTGGAGACTCAGTACTCTTACACATCTCTTATATTGGATATTTTGCTAGAACAAGAGGTAAATGGTTATCCAAGAAAAAAGCTTTATGATAAATCAAATAAATTGAACTTTTCAATCTTCATCTTTCTTTACTTACGCAGCAATAATCACATTTATCACCTGATTACAGACACTTTTTTCAGTTTTAACTTCAATATACAGGCCATACAATTTAGAGTGATGCAATTGATTTCACTGAGTATTTTTAATATGGTATTGATTCATTTATTTTCTTTATTTCTTTATTAACATATCTGCTTTTTGGTCAGTAGTTTACAACACTTAATGTCTTTTCTTTCACCGTAAATGTTTTACTGCAAGTATAAATAATGTATTCACGTGCATTTTTGTTTATCCCTTTGCCATCTTTTTTTATTACTTATTATAATGCACTTAGGACAAGGAAGAGTTCAATTTTAATTGAAACTCTTCAGAATGCAATGATTGCATTTAAGGGACTCCGACCCTCAGTCAGGAAGGACAACTCTTTAATTTATAAATTAATTCAAAAAGTCTTTAAATTTAGCTTGAAAGTTAAATATTTTAATGCAACAATTTTCATCATATGCCTCTTAATGTGCTTCAAGGTTTTTTGCAAAGCTCCATTAATCACTTCTGATTTCATATCATGTTAATAAACATTGGTATCTAAAAATGCTTTTTCGGGATAAAAATGTCTACTTTTAATTAGACCTTTCTGAGAAGTTCAAAGTACCTTGAAGCACATTGAGAGGCATATATTGAAAATTGTTGCATGAAAAGATTTAATTTTCAAGCTTCATTTAAAGTCTTTTTGAATTAAATTATAAATTAAAGAGTTGTCCTTCCTGGCTGAGGGTCGGAGTCCCTTAATTTTATTTTTATTTCTAGTAGAGATTATTAGATTGGAGGATATTTACACTCTCAGTATCTATTGCCTTAATATTGTCAATTATAAGCATTTTATTTGACTTTTTGTTGATGATTTTTCTAACGATTTCATGTAAATAAAATTAGCTTTTAATTTTAAGTTGTTTTGATTTCACAAGCACTTCTTAAATCAATTTGGATATGTAGTAAGAGAGATCTTCGTCATCTTGATTGAAAATCTTCTATGGGGGTGGAAAACTTTTCTTAACACCCCCCCTTAAAACTAAGAAAAGCCCTTAGATAGCTTATTTATCATGCATATCTATGGATAATGTGCTAATGTGATATTCAAATGTACATGTGTAGCAAGTTACCTTATTATTGGATAGCATCACCGATTTTTGCTACATTGGTAAAATTCAGATTTGATATTGTGCAAAAAAAGCCATTTCGGTGATGCTTGTTAAATTATACATATTTAATAAAGACTCCCTTTACAAAGATTTATCTACAAACGTTCTTGTCATTTAATGTACATCCGTATTCAATAGCACGAAAATGAAAATGTTAACATTTTTCTTAATATTATAAATTCCGTTAGCACTTATGGAATAGATATGCTTTAAATCCTAATATTCATAATTTAATTACAAGTACAGATACATATTGTAAAAAGGAGTTAATTTACGGATGTTATAATTACCAAAGGAAAAAGAGATTATAATAAGAAAAGGACGTCAGAATTTTTAATCATATAGGAAGATCATCAACTTATTTGCTTTTCTTCATAGGGCAACGCACTAAGATACAATTTTAGGAATAATTGTTACAAATTTATGTTTCATCAGGTCATCACTTTTTTTTATTCACTGTCTACTATAATAAGGAAGAAGATATGGATCCAGAGTCATACTTAGAGACCTTATTTTTGTTGGCCATTGTTTTCATCTGAACTTCAGAAGAATATAGTAAGTACGATAAAGTTTAATAATTTTTAATATTAAATTAAAAAAAAAATAAATATATATTATAGAAGATGAGTTGTGTATGTTATATATTTTGCTCCTTGAATTTTAGAGATTTAGAACCAAGGGAAGTATTCAATGTTTATTTGCCCTTGTTATTGGATATTGATAAAACCAAATGACAGGTGCAGGCCTTTTACACTCAAAATAACTCAAAACCATGCTTAGAGAATTTTTATAATGGATCAGTACCACAGTATCAACATATCAATTAAGAAATATAATATCGTGGAAGAATACTGATGCGTTTGACATATGAAAGCTATTTCCGCAGGTACTTCTATTATAATGAAATCGATTCAAATTTCAATTGCATTATTGTAATACACCGAAAAAAACGTTCAAGAATTTTTTTTTAAATATGGACAATCCTGATCATTCCATATTTAATAATTCAATATTTCGTGTACTTTTTAGAATAAAAAAAATGATGAAAGCAACGACAAAGTACTGTTCCCATCCTACTGTTTGTGTAATGTGTAGTATATTTAGAGTTGCTGATCCAAATTTCAAAACCATTGTCACGATAGTGGACAATTGCTCGAAGCATTACGAATATCCAAGTTACCTTCCTACGACCAAAGTTGTAGTGGAGGGGGTTACTGTTAGGGAATTCAATTAAACCAGATGTTGTGAGGGTTCTCGGTCACTTTTGTATACCACAGGTAAAGTAAGCCATACCTTCATTACAGCTGTAATTTGTATCATTTTTAAAAAGCATTTTATAAATCTTTAGAGAGAGAAAACAGCATTTAGAGTGAAAACTGTCTATTAGGACACCTGCACAATCTGTTTTAGTGTACATTCCGACCTTTATTATCGTTTTATTATTTCACATATCTTTAACATACTGTACAATCCAACAACCTGTCTATTTTGACACAAAATTAGATTTAGACAGGTTTCTTTCACTGTATAATTAAAACATACCCTCATACTAAATAACACAATATTAAACCACTGCTCAGCACTTCTGTTTTGTCTTTGTTGAAGATTCATCCTCTTCAGATGATTGGACGTCATCACCTGTTGTCATCCCCCTGCTGATAACAATGTCAATTGCCTTGGTTGTCATCATGCTTATTATCAAAATCATATCAGTGGTCAGGTAGAAAAAGTAAGCATTGAACTTTACTTATGGGAGTGTTAATTTTCAAATGTGAATTGCACTGTTTTTCTAAAGATACGCATGTTTGCTTTTATTTCATAATAAGCATCTAAAACAACAAAATACATTTTCATTTTTTTAATAACCATAGAATTTCCACGTCTGAAATATTTTTTTCCGAAAAGAAGCGCTGTATATGATTTTAAGTGAAAAAATTCAGCAGATAAAAATAAACACTAAGTTAAGGTATTTTACATTTTTCTCGTACCGTATTTGGGGTATTTTACATATTTCAAAGAAGGCCTTCAACATATGATCCTGGGAAACAAGATAGACCATGTAGTATAATCTTTGTAAGATAACGTTTTTAACCTTCTTTTTATAATGTTTCTAGTAAGTCCAAATTATGCCTGACTTTTTTTCAAAATATTAAGCATAATCCAAGTTCTACTTTTAATTCTAGCATATACTAGCTTAACTTAATTTTTACATGTTATTAATATACAAAAGGATGAAGTCGTGGAATATTCAACACCAGTGGAAAACGTTCCTGTTGGAAAATCATTATTCCACATTAATTTAATGTCGAAAGACACAGAGAATGCACAATATATAAGTCATGTTCGTGAAAGAGTGGAAGAATCACAAAGAACTGTTGATGGCGAACAGAGCAGCAATTTGAAACATGATCATCTCGATGAGGAAGATTTCTATTGTACACTTCATAAAAAAGAAAAGAAACGTTTAGATAGAAAGGAAAGTGTCTACAGTCATTTCAGTGAAATTGATGATCACATTTACAATAAAACATTCCACTATGAACCAAAGGAAGGTGAACTGAATAATGTATATTCTTGTGTATAAGTGCTTTGTTATTAGCTGTTTGACATACTTATATCATTAGGGATTGAGTGTAACGAAAAAAAAATAATAAAAAAAAACGACATACTAATATTTATAACACATACTAGTGCAATGTAATTGCATTATTTGTTTGAATTCCTTTTAGTCAGACGATAGAAATTAATACTGAATATTTTACTTATTGTTTCTTATTTCAATTTTATTTTTCATATATTTTGTTTCTGTGCTAAATAAAAAATGAAATAACATGATTTTTGATATATAAAACAACATTAGTGTGCAATAATATTTCCTTA